TTTTCCAGTTTTATTTGTTTTTACGAGCATGTATTTCTCAAGTCAGAGTATAAGGAAAAAGTTTTGTTTTAACGATTGAGAGCTCGCTACGCGAAGCGCTCCGGTAATCCGTGACACGGGGCAATTATTTTCCTGATTATCAGATCGCGACACGTAGTCGTTTCCGGCGACGCAATTTCGTGCGCCGTCGAGCTCGGAAAATTTCTTCGGCGTCGAATATGTTCCTTTCGTCGCGCGGCGACGTGCACAAGCAGATCCCGCACTGAGTTTTGCATAATATATGAAGTGATGCATCTTAAGAACATATAACGGCGGTAACGTTCATGCAAATTTTCATCGCTAAGCGGCGTGGCATGGAATTTCAAATTTTCGCTTTAACGGAATTTTAACCATGAACGTTAATTCCGCATTTGTAAAGCGCGGTTTTCCGCATTTAACCAGGATGGATACCTAAAAAAAATTACACTGTTGAATTATGAATTTTATAAATTTTTTTAAAGCAAACAAACTTTAGAACGCAACGGTATTAAATAACCAGCCCTTGCTTGCGAGACATACGTTTTCATTATTTTACGCGGCGTCTTCTAATTTAGCCTTGTGTAATTTAGTACAGTTAAAACAGGACAAAGAGAATTTCCACTGTCTGATTTGATTACTTAATTGCATCAAAGTGCGCTTTCGTGGAAAATTTCTACAAATATTTCAGTGACGCTATCATTAGTGTTCTCATTCGTTAACTGTTTACCAGCGATCGATGGAATCGCTATCGTTTTTTTTTTTTTTATGGCGATTCGTTGTAGAATTCAAAAGCTTGTTCTCTTTTAGAGAAGCGTAAATAGATTCGACATCTACGGCAACACCGTGCATCAGGAGTGCATTTAAAGTGCTTCTCTCTCTTCCAATTGTTTTTCCGATCGTTCTTACGCCGGATACGTGTGTTATCGGTTCGAGGGCTCATGCAGATTTGAAATCCCCCTACATCTTTCCGCTGACTCTCTTCCGTCATGCTCGCTTCTGTATATCCCGCGCTCGCACGGTATTGCCGCAAGGGATTCCGGCCGGCTTATTTTCCTGGTACCGCCGCATGCGGACGGGAATGTCGGTTCTGTCGCCCATTTCGCGGATATCCTTGCCTCTATTTTCTCGCATGTCCACGTTTTCCGGCTGACTTTTGCTTCCGTTATTCTCGAGCGCGTATATGGAGAAGCATTTAAATGCCGCGTGCGATGGTGCTCGTCCGCACGATCGAGAGAACGTTTGAACGGATTTTCGTATCCTCGCGGAAGCACGAAAAAGGTCATTAGCTTTTCAATCTTAACCGACTTGTGGGAGTTGAGTTGCATCTGTGTTGCTTTTAGCGGGGAATTTCAAGTTTCATCATGCAGCCATTAGCGATCGATATTTGATTAATCGCGTTTGTCGGACGCGCTTCGCAATGGGCTGTCTGCCGGTGGAATTATTCAGCAGCGAACCGCGGTACGGCTGTAACTCTTATCGACTAGTCGGTCATCGCGCGGCATCGTTACGTAAACGTGAATTGTTACCGAAACTAGAGCGAAGCGGTAAATAAACGAAGGCAGCCGTGCGTACGAAGGCAAGAAAATATTATTTTCCATCGCTCAATCGCGAGGAAAGAAATTAGTGTTTGGATAGAGACGCGATAAAGTGTGTGATTTGTGCGATAAAGCGGATTGTCATTGCGCCTAACTATAAACCCACATTCATCACGCCAACATACACGTCGATGTTGTACGCGCCGTCGATATTATCGAACGTGATTGACACTCCTTTTTCTTCGCGCGCCGAGCATTTCGCAGACGTTTCTCGCCTTCCTATCCTAAGCAATTCATTTAACGACGGACAAAGAGTCCAGCCATTGTGCTCTCGTTTCATGTCGGCGGTAGAACCCGTAGCGAAAATAGAACCTAACCCAAATAAACAGTGACACGCGAGCTCGATGTTATCCCCCGGTAGCGGCTCGGTGTAACTTCGGTTAACACGAAAGGGCGATGGCGCTTACGGCGAAGTTTACGAAAGCGGGCTCTTACAGATGATGAATATACTCTTTTCTTCCTACTCCCGTCCGGCGTTGTCGACACTCTTAATCAAGAGGTAGGCGCGTTCAATTAATTTTCTAACCCACCGTTCAGCTCTTCGCGCGCGTAACAATATTTTTTACAAAAATCGGAAAATTGAAAACATTTTTATCTCGAATAACGCATTTGCGGGATTGTGTTTTTAGTCAGTTTTCATATTTGTACAAGATATTATAAAAATAACACGGTACGAGTACGAAGAATCTGGGAAACAAGAAATTCATTTTAGTCTGAGGATACATTTCAATTTCGTGTCACACACATGCCGCTGTTCGTTTCTCTTAAAGTTTCATCTCGAGGGTACATTTAATTTCGTTGTTATCGGAGTTTTTTCTTTGCCACAGCACGATAAATTAAGTCCGTCATCCGCAAGCTATATACGTTATTTTCGCATCGCAATCATTGCTTTTTGTTCTCTAGATGTTGCGTTTATGTTTAACCGTATTCTAACAATCTTGTCTTCGACGTCCGCGAAAGATCTCATTTGAGATCGTCGCGACAGTCCATTCCGCAAGAAAATAAATCGTCCGTCCATTTATTTTTACTGTTTTTTTTCTCTCTTTATTTTTTCCTCCTTTCTATTGCCGAGACACCGCGACGGGAGATGCCACACTTATGCTACTTACAGTATATTTACTGCGAGATCGTAAAGGAAGAAAAGAGGAAGTTTTTCAGACCGATACATCGCCCGGCGTTTCAAAGACGAGAAAGAGGGAGGGAGAGAGAGAAGCAGTAAACTCTTTTACGGAAAAGTGTCTCCGATAGTAACGACCACTAAAAAGCGACCATGCCACTTCGCCACGTACGGTTCTGGCAGAGCCAGACACTACTCTCGCGCGCTAACGTTTCTCCCGAGCGCACACACTGCTTTCGCACGTGTGTCTACTCGAGACAATTCTCCACTCGCGCTGGAAATGGAAGGCCTCTCGTGCCGTCTGAGGAAGATAGGATGGTATGATCCGCGAAGTTCTTCTCTCACTGTATCCTTACCGAAGGTTTTCTCAGCAGTGCCGCGAAATTACTTTTTTTCGCGGATATCTCAATTCTACACTTTGTTTACGAAGAGTTTGAATTACGACGATTTTCAGGACCGATGTTTTCGTTGCGAATTTTTCAACGGAACACGCACAATTTTATTTTTACCGATGAAAACCTTCGTCGAAATTCTAAATTTGTTAATAATTCCATTTATCCAGAGTATATTTACAAAAATGTACATGTATTTTAAATTTTTTTCCCCTTTTTCCCGCGATGTTATTTATAAAACGACTCGATGGTAGATGCAATTTTCCGCGAATATCGCGATAGTCAATCTCACGTTGAAAAGCTGGGCTTAACTGTACTTCTCTCGTCATAACATCCGTCGATGCATCACGCCGGTCGATCCGCTATAACGCGGCAGCATTTCGCAACTCGGCGGCGCACGGGCACGGTTACGGTCGTCGAAACGGCGACGGTAAAACGTGCATCCACCTTTCTCCGCCTATGAATAGCAAACGTCTCCGGCGCCGAAAAGAGCGCGACACGCGCGAACGAGCGAGCGAGCTTTTCCTCTCCCGTCTCGGGGCTTTTTCACCACTCTCCCGTCCGGGTGGAGAATCCTTCCAGAGATGCGCGCGTGGCGGAGCCTTTTCATCGTTATCCCGCCCGGCTCTTACGAATGCAGCCCTCGATTCTCCGATACGATGCAGACAACTTTGCGCAATCTGCGAGATTGCGTGCACGCGACGACGGCCAACTTTTCCGTAGGGGCGATGCATTGCGCATAATGCAACGGTCGCACCGCGGTACACGTTCGCTTATCTGTGCCCGATCGCGCTTTACGTCGAATATAATCATCCCGCATAATAGACCCGGTGAAAATGGCGGACAGCGCCTAAGCGATCGTATCGCGTGTGTCGGTTTAATTTAACGAGTGCCTCGCTTTTGCGCCTGTTTACTTCCGCGCGGTTTCTTCAATCGATACTTTTTTATGGGACGGAAAAAATCATTCAACCGGTAACTGTATCAAGTGTGCGACATGTCAAAATCACACCGACACCGTTGGCTTCCGTGTACGTGTACGTGCGTATACTTAGTGTCCATCCTAACATCGTTAGCAAGTGCGCCGCACTGCGCCCCCCATCCTAGCCCCCAAAAGTTTCTAATTTCGTAATTTAATACAAAGTTAATAAAGCCCCGGGACGCGCGTATTTTCCGATTACTTGGCGCCGGGTTACTCGCGAGAGCGTATTTTAGACACGCGCGTTGAACTCTGCATTGTAGATCGCCTAACGAGCGCGCAAATTTAGAATGATTCGCTTAATTGAGAAATCACCAGCTGGACTATATTTCCAGATTATCTCTTGTTAAATTTATCTAATAAAACATTATTACCATTTTACCTTCTTGTTAATGTAATAAATAAATGTGATATATAAATAAATCGCGAAGTATATTTATTACAAGAATGTAATAAATTATATTTTTCAATAGTCTTTATTTTCATATTTATCGCATATTTTTATTTATTATATATTTAATAAGAATAGATTTCCAGATTTATTCTTGATATATCATGTAATATTAAGATATATATGAATAAAATATGTAAAGTATTATTCGTCACGATAATCAAATTTGTTGGAAAACGGATTTAATTTGAAATTGCTTAAATTAAATTTGTCAGACGAATCACAGAATTAATAAAAAGGCGGAAAATTATTGATGACATCAATGTATTACGAATGTCCATTATCGTGTCATTTTCGATTTTTCAGAGACTTGAACAATTAATAATCGCAAAAGTAGAATTTGCGTCCTTATTTTCTCTTAGTGTATAAAAAATAGAGCAATTTTTTTACAGCGCTTCTTAAATTACTCATATATTTTTACTAAAATATTTTTGTTTTCTTATGATTTTAGGTGACAAGAATGCGGTGACGTTGAGAAACAACACAACCCGAAAATATACATATCCTAACAATACATATTATATCGCGAATTAATAGAATACCCAAATCCATATCCAGTCTGCGACGTTTATTAATGCAAGACTTCTCAACGCCCTATATCGGAGCAAGAAACAAATGCGACATATCGATTGCCAAACGTATCATAATATTATCATTGACTCCGTTATTAAAACTTGAGGAACGTCTGCTGGATATTAAACCGCGGCAGATTTAATCCAGCGATTTACTTCGTCTCGTTTAGTGAAATCTGTCCTAACGGCACCGAGACCGAACTTCAAAGAGCAGTCGCATTCCAAAACGGACGATGACGCGTGGACTATCACGGCGAGTTATCGATTTTACACGTCAGTGATTGTCAGTCATCTCGATTAGACTAAGGAATAGCTGCTCTCGGAGCGAATCTCTTTCGCATCGTGAAATTCTCGGCACGATCAGCTCGCGCGAGAGGGAAAAGGACGGGGAAGACGCGTTTCCTGTGGATCTTCTCACCTCATACTCGAACGTTTAATTAGCGTCCTCGATCGCGTAGAAAGGAGGAACTAGCCGAGTCGCCCGGACCTTCGACGTCGTTCGGCGAGTGGAGGGAGGTCGAGGCGGGAGCGGGAGGATGTTGCTGAGGTAACACGACATTCCGAGGCCGCACGAGAAGCACGATAATCGCAGCGCGCGCGGCGCAGGACGCGACGGGGAAAGGAAGTGTCGATCGCGCAGCGGACGTACGAAGGAAGGATCGTAGAACGGTGGATGAGCAGGATGGGCTTCCCCAGGAGAAGGTCCTTGTGGCTGAAGGTGGCTGTGCTGGCGACCGCCGTGTGGGTGACCGTCTGTTTTTGCTCTACACGGAGGATCGAGCGGCGGCGGCCGCCGTACAAGGATTGGCGCCGTCAGGCATCGCGGCACCGCAGCAAGCGGCGAACGGCTTTGCGCCGGCCGCGGCGGCGCCGTTTAAAAAGGAGACACCCGGTAATCCGCTCGGCAACAGGGCGAGGATCAACCAAGCCGGTCCGGAGCAAGGTAATTTTAGAGAATTAATTTTCCTTGATTTTGTGGTATCGTTAAGAGTGACGTAAATTAACGCGTCCGGTTTTTGATGTCAAAGAGAGACGAAGGGGCTTTGATCCCGTTTCTACACAAGAGTATTTTTCTACAAAAACTATTTTGGCCGCTTAGCTAAACAGCGTGTATTTGGTTTTAATTATCTGGACAAATATGGATATATAGATATCTGGATATATAGGTATTAAAAATTAATATCTCATTATTAATAGCTGCTTTGTCTCTTAGCGATGCAACGTAGGTGCATTGTGGGTGTCTACGTGAATCACTGCCTGTTAGGAAATAGCTTAGCAGACTGACATAACGCGCGGGTTAGATGCGAGTTAGGTCTTAATAAGCTGATAGATGTGTCCCTTCTGGAATATATGGTCTGTGCATGGATCATGTCGTGGATGTTAGGCTAGTTCGCTGTGGCCACCTGTGGCTCAACGTGTCCGATATTCGAAAACATTTTTCAAAAAGCATAAATGAAAAAGTCATTGATTCTTTATATACATTTATTTGTGATATTATAAATTTTTTTATTAATTGTAACATTGGATCGTTTAATCAATAACATGCTATATTGGTGTATAAAATTTATAAAGATTGTGAATATAAAATTTTCACATTTTAATTATATTCTATGAAAACGGTGTAACTGTTTCCAACATTTTGTATATTTTGCGACAGGTTTTTAAATTCTATAAAAGTAAAATTAATTCATGTTTAAAACATTTTCTGCTTTTATATAACTTGTTGCCGAGGCATTTTAATTTAAGAAAAATAATGTAATCTAGAGAGAAAAATTGGTTTCCACGTTTTATAAGTCTTTTTACCTCGAGAAGACCCTCTTACCGTCGACTGTTTATATTTCCTACGCGTGCGTGTGTATGTGCGCGTTGATCGCGGAAAAGGAATGGGAAGAAAAGCAAACCGCATCGCGGAAGAATATAGAGCGAGATACGACTCTGTATCCGCGGGGAAGATCCTCAAAGACGAAAGTTCGTTCTCTCGGGCGCTGCCACGAGCGTAATAAGGAACCTTTGGTAGTTCACCGCGCATCCTCTTATTGCCAGACGCGAAGTACGAATAAGGCTCTCATAGTACATGGATCATCCCTGGCGATATTGTCGGCGTCTCGCGGCGACGAGCAGCACGATATATATTACGTGGAGGGTTGCTTGTCTGTAAGCGAGGATCTTGAATGATGAACTTAGTCTGTCGTCTAGGTTGAGTGCCTCTCATGAGCTCTCGCAGGACTTCCCGTACGCCAGCCGC